AAAGCCTGGGGATCCTCGGGTCAAGTTGGCTGGTGAGTTTGAGAGCAATCCAGGACAATTCTCCAGTATCAACCTAGGGCATCTGCATACAAACTCACTTGCATGCACCTACGTGGTGTGGCCACAAATACGCAAACGTGCATACACGTTCATGAAGATCACTGCCTGTAGGCCAATAGGAAAAGAGTTATTAGGTCAGATTTAGCCCATAGGCTCCAGTATGGTAACTGTTGGTTTGGTGGTAGTGCTGGATCTCCAGGCTAGCCTCATACAGTCAACCCCAAAGAAAAGTCTCCAGGGAGCGTTCTGCTTATAAAGTCCCGACTCTCTCTCTCTCTCTCTCTCTCTCTCTCTCTCTCTCTCTCTCACACACACACACACACACACACACACACACACACACACACACCTTCAGAGAGCTCAGGATGGTCATATTTTTCCAGTGGCTATCCTACTTCATTAGCTGGTTCATTGAGACCTGTTTTAAGTTTTTAGAGGGTTTTCCTCCACTTTTCATCATGAAAAAAAGTATAAAAAATAATGTAGAAGGGGTTAGGATTAGAAACCAAAGTGAAAGAAGCCTGAAGTCCCCGAATTCTGTTCCTGTTTTGGGAGTTCAGCTTTTTCTGGCAAGAAGAGAGAGAGAGAGAGAGAGAGAGAGAGAGAGAGAGAGAGAGGAGAAGAGAGATTGGAAGAAGATTGTTTTCACATTGCACTTTCTTTGAAAAATTAGAATTGCCAGGTATTGTCACTTAACAGTTATATTAAACGTTAAAGGACACGGTGGCGGGGGACGACTGTATCTTTCAGAGTAGTTAGATCTTCACGAAGAAAAAAATCTATTTTTTAGCACTGTAAGATACAACTGAAAGGAATATTTCTGGAAAGGAATCCAATGGGTGATTTGCTTAGAAGTGTGTGTGTGTGTGTGTGTGTGTGTGTGTGTGTGTGTACATGCTTGCCTGTGGAAGCCAGAGGCCATACATGTAGTCCACCTCGTCTTCTGGGACAGGCTCTCACTGGCCTGGAGCACCTTGAGCAGGCTGGGCTGTCTAGGCAGCAAGTCTCAGGGCCTTCTGAGCACCTGGATTTTAAAGGTACCTCTGGCTCTGCTTCTTTGGGAGGGGGCAGGGATCAGGACCTTGGGCTCCTGCAGGAAGCATTTACCAAATGTGCTCTGCTCTCTGCCTCAGCTTAGAGCATTTTCCCGTAGAAGGAAAATCCAAGCCGAGGAGAGAGATCAAGCATTCCATAGCACCAAAGACATAAGGAAAAGGCTCATGATTTCCCTCTGTGCTTACTATTAGGAGAGGTTTGAGTGAAGGGGCTGTGGAAATGTTTCCTACTGAAGTTTAGTGCTCAGAGCCAAGCCCTGGCCAGTACAGGGCTCCATCAGTCCCAGCTGAGTGAGAGTGTTCAGCGAGAGTGTGTTTTTGAAAGGGGACCGAAGTCCTCTTTGCCAGATACCTGAGCCGTTGTTAGGGCATTCAGTGGAAAATTTCATTTCCACATTATAAATAACTGTAGGATATTTTAAGGGCTCCAAGACTGGGAACTTCCAAGAGCTGCTTACATTAGTTCTACCGAAATGTTTAATGGAGAGAGGGTGCCCAGGAAGGCTATAAAGCCGAATTACCGGATACGATTAATTAAAATAAATAATCTCACCTTGATTAAATTGTCCTTAAAATCTCCAACCATTGAGGCCTGCTTGTCTCATTATCCATTAAGTTGAAAAAAAAAAAAAGGTGGTGGTGGTGGTGGTAGTAGTAACTAATCAGCAATGGTGGGGAAGAAAAAGTCCCCAGATAGGATTTCTCTAATTCAAACGACCCTAAAATTTCTTGTTGAAAAGCCCCTCTCTGGGAGCTCCTATTTGAAATATGGACTGTTTCTCAGTGTCTGTCAGTTTCTCCAAGTTCCCTATTCTGTGGGTTTCCTGGGAGGAGGATGCAATATCACCTACCAATGACTTTCTATCTCTATGACTACAGAATCTCATTCCATTTCCTGAGACTCCTCCCCTAGTCAGTAGTCCCCAGACACTTAAAAGGGGGAGTTGGGCAAGCAAGCCATCTCCGTCCCTTAGATGTGTCCCCAAAGAAAACTGTCCTAATAAAGGCAGGAGAGGAACGCATGTAATTGTGTCGTAATGCCAGTGTGTGAGCGTGTGAGAATACAAGTGAGTGTGTAAGGAAGGTGGGTGGTGGGTGCAAAGGAAGCTGGCATTCCTTTACTGAATTGGCATTTAGGAATGGGTAAGGAAGTGGGCATTCCTTTACTGAACTGGCATTTAGGCATAGGGATGCTAGCGCGCACACGCGATGCAGCTGTACTCAGAGTTAGAGCTCTCTCCTGTGATCAAAAAGATTATTAAAAGTAGCACCCTTGGGAGATAGCTCAGCAACTAGCTGCATCGGTAGTGTGATGGGATGAGTGGCTTCAGTGGTCCTGGAGCCGAGCGCTAGGGGCATGGAGGCCACCAGGTGCGAGGAGTAGGGTCGGGAGTAGGTGTTGCTTTTCGGTGGCGTGGAGGAGCAGGCGGTGTGGCAGAAGAGGGAAACTGAGAGGCATGGGGAGGTGGCACGGGGAGGATGCAGGGGAAGAATCCGGAAAGAGACAAGGAAACACCGACAAGGCGGTTGTAAGTGGAGCGAGCAGAAAGGGGAGGCAGAAATAATGACACAAAGAGGAAGGGCATAGTAGTGTACTCCAGTTTCATCTCTACGCCCGCCCGTGAGAGGGCACAGTCCCTCTCATCCGTGTCCACTCTTGGACCCCAGCACCATCTTAGGCACCGGAACACAGGTCCCTAGGTCACCTGGGCACAGAGATCCGTGCTTGTCTTATGCTTGTCAGAGTCTTGAGTCCTGCAGAGGAGCAAACAACCTCTTTCGCGTCCTGGTAACCTTTTCCCTGGGCGCGCGGGGTAAGAGTGGCAACTGCGCTTTGAAAACCGATAGGGAGGGTGGTGACAGGTCTCTTGAAGAACTTGGGAGGCATTTGCATCCACTAATAAAAGTTCTAGTTAATGGCCATGCGAAGAGCTTTAAACAAGACAGGAGATAGAGGTAGGGTACCCAGCTCTCCCTGTACCTCCGTCCTTCAAGGGAGGACTCCAATTTTTCATGGATTGCACGAAGTCGCGACTGTGTCAACTACCTTGTTGCTAGGAATATCGGGACTCGGGTAAATGATTCTATTTGGAAGCTTTAAGAGTTTTTAAAAATCGGTTAAATAGACGTAACAGAACACCACGCGAGAGGTGAACCGGCCCCATGTTGCAGCTGCCTAGTCCTTGGGGTGTAGCAGCCTCCAGCGGATTTCCCGGCTTCTGTGGGCACGCAATCTGTTTGATTTGTTTTGAAGGCTCAGAATTGGAGGCTGGTTGGAGACACCCACGTGCTTCTGTCTCCCATCAGCTAAATGATCGCCTTAGCTTGAGTCGTGTCTATATAAACCACAAAAACCTAATCATTAGAAATCCCAGCCTCCAAAAACCACATTTTAGGTAAAAACTGCCGCCTTTTTTCCGCACTCCTTCATCTCTCGACCACAAACTTTTGGGGATTCCAAAATCTCCTTTAAAAAAAAATGTCGGAAACAAACACATAAATAAATAAATAATTACTGAAGCTTTTTTTTTTAAAAAAACTTTTTATTTTATCCTCTCCCCGGGGGGGGGTGTGATGAGGAAGAACATCAAGACTTAGACTGACTCGAAGACTCGGCTTACTAAAAGATTGACAATTCACGGATTACCGCTGTTTATATATTTACATTTTGCCTCTCTCAGCAAATGCTTTTGCAATTTACAACTTATTTTCATTATAAAGCTGTCATTTTTTTTAGTTCTTAAAAAAAGCAACCCATCCTTATTGTCCAGGAATGACAAGAATGAATATGTAAGAAGAAAGCGTCCAGGCATCCACTCGAGTTTCTAAAACTATTTTGACAAGTCCTTCTGTCACCCATTTTTTGGCGTCACCTAAGGGGGAAAATAAAACCCAACCCGAATCCTGTAAATATCTGCCCCCCCCCCCGCCCCAGCCGAGGTAGGGTGGGTGGGGTGTTGGGGGAGGGTGAAAAGTGTTCAGACGTCAACGAGGGGACTTGAACTTTTCCTTCCTCCTCTTTTGAAGTTACAACGAAAAATAACGACAGCAGGAGCAGCCTGAGGCTCTCCGGCTTCTCAGTTTCAGCGTGGTCAGACTAAGAAGGGGGTTCCTGGTCCTGGGGATGCGGGGGGAGCTGAAGGAGCAGGCACGGATGCCCTAGGCGGGGACCGCCTCCCTCCATCATCCGCAGCCCAGCGCAGCGTGACGGCGCTTCTCACGGCCGGCGGGCGGCGGCAGCGGCTGCGATCTACAGGCTCCGGAGCTGTCGCCCTGAGATCCGCTGCCCCCACTTACCTCCCGACACCTTGAAGCGCGAGGGGGCCAGGGGCATTTGCAAAGAGCAGGAAGGACGTGGCTACGAGGAGGCGGCGAGTGAGAGGGCGAGAGGAGAAGCGGGGAGAGGAAAAAGCGGCCGCGGGAGGACTCGGAGCGCGCAGCCGGCAAAGGGGAGCGCGCAGCGGCCTCGGAGGAGGAGGAGGAGGCGCGGGCAGGCGGCGGCGCCAGAAGTTGGGCAGCCGCGCTCGGCTTGGCGGTGTCGGGCAGCGCGGGGCCACACGGACCGCTGAGATGGATTGCTGAACGTGCCAGGCTCCACTACCGAACTGGAACAGGGAGGGGGGCGCCCGTGCACCCGGGACGCTGTGCCCCAAACACCCCCCCCCCCCCATTGCAAGTTGCTAACTTCAAGTCCCTTGACTCGGCTCGGCCAAACACGCCCCCGCGCCCCTCTCGCAGCTGCCACCGCCGGGGCTCTCAAGCCTCCGGGCGGAGATCTGCATCTCCCGGGTGTCCCCACCCGCCAACCCAACTGTGCCTGGTCGCCGGCCGCCGGCCCCCATCAGACTCCGCCCGGCAGTCGGCTTCCTCGAACTTGATTTCTCACCTCTTCAGTCCCGTCACCTCCATCCTCTTTCCCCCGTCTCGCCTCCACCCCCTCAATTTCCTCCTCCTCGCCCCCCATTTCCACCCTCCTCCCCCTCCCCCGGCCACTTCGCTAACTTGTGGCTGTTGTGATGCGTATTCCCGTAGATCCGAGCACCAGCCGGCGCTTCAGCCCCCCCTCCAGCAGCCTGCAGCCCGGCAAGATGAGCGACGTGAGCCCGGTGGTGGCTGCACAGCAGCAGCAACAGCAGCAGCAACAGCAGCAGCAGCAGCAACAGCAGCAACAGCAGCAGCAGCAGCAGCAGGAGGCAGCCGCAGCGGCGGCGGCGGCGGCGGCAGCGGCGGCAGCGGCAGTGCCCCGGTTGAGGCCGCCGCACGACAACCGCACCATGGTGGAGATCATCGCCGACCACCCGGCCGAACTGGTTCGCACCGACAGCCCCAACTTCCTGTGCTCCGTGCTGCCCTCGCACTGGCGGTGCAACAAGACTCTGCCCGTGGCCTTCAAGGTAAGAGACTGGCCACCCTTAGCCCCCCGCCGGGCTCAGTGGAACCTGCCCGCAGCGGTCTCGGTGCCCACGGGTGTCCTCCAAGACTTCAGTCTTGGTGGCTCTGACTCAGGGACCGAGGTGGCCATGATCTACATACCCCGCAGCGGTCACCTGTGCCCACGACCACTCCCTTCCTAGCCTAGGTTTCCTTGCTTGTTCATCCTTCCTGTCTCCTGGCCTCGGTTCTTGCTCATTCCCCTGCTGGAGTTCCTTGGCCCTAGACGATCCTAAGTGCCCACTGAGAACCCCGATGCCCTAGCTCCACCCCGCTTCTTTCCCCCGTTGCGCGGGTCCCCCACACTCAGCCCCGCGCAGCTTCTGTCCAGGATTTCGTGCTCTCCTTCCCGCCTCCCCCACAGCCGCAGGCCGCTACTCCGGACTAGGCGTCCACTTCCCGGATTGGGTGCTGCTTGGCAGTCCCAGCAGCTCCCGGACTGGGGCCTGGTGCCCGCGGGGTGCCGGCGCCAGAGGATGCTTGCCCCTGGGGCGGGATGAGGTGCCAGCCTTTGGCGAGAAGGTTGAGGTGCTCAGCAAACTTGGGGATGCGGGGCGATGGGTTCGGGCAGGGACATTCAAGCCCTCCTTGGCGGGCTCCCGTTCCCGTTACTCGGAAGAAGGTGGGGTCGCCGGGGTCCCCGCTTTTATTGAGGCCCGGCAGCTGCGGGGTCCAGGGCACTAGATCCCCGAGTGCAGGGATGAACGTCGGGGAAGGGGGATCAGGGCTTAGGCTGCTTTCTCCCGCCTCACTCAGCCGGGGAGGAAGAGAGAAACTAGTGGAGCAACTTTGGCTGGCTCAGAAGGAAAACGGAGGTGAAATTCGTAGATTTGCTTTATTGCCTTCAAAGAGCCGGAACCCCAGAAGTCCCATCTGCTTGGGAAGGGCACTGCCGGAGGCCTGGGCGCCAAGGTGCGCCCCCGCGGCCTCCTCCGCCGAGTCCGTTAGCTTGCCAGCACCGGTAGCGGTGGGAGTCATGGGCAGACGCCAGCAGGTTGAAGGTGTTCGGGTTCTCAGCCTCTGTCCATAGCTATGGTGTAGTCTGGGATTCCTGGAGCTATCAGGGAAGGTGTTGTTGGCAGGGAACACCCCCACCAGAAGAGACTGCTGGATTGATGATTGTCCACTCTCGCTGGTCTAGACCCTAGGAATGGAGGGGGTGAGGCAGCTAGGGAGATGAATCCAAAGGCATTTCCAGTTCTAGGGAATGGGCCTGGGACCTAGCATCTGTGGAGAGCAGGTTAAGTATGATCTTGAAAGAAAGAAAGCGGGAGTGGGGGGGGGGGGGGGGAGAAAAGGGAGGAATTGTGCCAGTTCCTTCATCCTTCACTCTGGTGCCAAACTCCCACGGGCCCCTTGCATTTCCCAGTTGTTGATCACCGGTACCCCACGCATCAATTCAGATTCCACGTGTGGGTGGGGTGGCAGGAGGAGCCCAGGTCAATTGGAGTAGTTATCTCTTTAGGTCTTCTATCTGAGCAGCGATCTGAACGGGTTCTTATTGAGGAGGTGTGTGTTGCGTTCTCTCTAGCAAGTTTCTTTTTGTAGCTGGATCAACTAGTGCTCTTTAAAAAAATCACACACGGCAGTTTTCCTCTTTGAGAGCATCCATTTTGTAGATTAATGTTTTCTTTGTAATGTGAAAAGGTCAGATATAGGTGAAATTGTAGAAAATGATATTTAGTATTAGAGGTATCTTTTACAATGTTTATCAGCCAAGGGCCCAGAATTTTCTAAGCAGTCTCTGTGAGGGTAGCCTTTTTTTTTTTTAAATAAAAACCAAGCTAAAATCTTTTCCCAGACCTAAATGAAAATAGGGAGAATTGCAAATCAGTAGATATTTTGTCTATGCAAGGCCATGCATTGAAGTGTAAGGATTTAATTTTATCGATTCACTGTCTAGAGTTCTATGCATCTTCTAGTGTGAGTGTGCTTAGGATATAATTGTCTTGAACTGTTCATTTTAAATGCCGAGTTGATATTGAGCACAAGCATTCTGCAGGGAAAGGATTTGGCTATAAAGATGGAATGCGGTTCAGTCTGAACTTTTTTTGGGTTTTGGAGCTGGGTTTTCTAACTAGTTTCTAAAACTCTTTGGAAATGAATTTCTTTGCCATTAAAGCATTCTCATCACAGAGTGCATGTTTCTTATTTTAACCAGCAGGCAGAGCATCGATAGCATAGGGCATATTGTAATATTTAAATTAGTAATATAGTGGGTTTACCTAGAGTTTGACTTTGTGTACTTCCCTTTCTGTCTAACGGCATTCGAAGAGTGGGTGAGAGATTCAAGCTCACCCCTAACAGTTTGGTCTCTCTCCTTAAAATATATAGGGATATTTGAAGGTACACATTTTGACAGAGACTTTTATGATTTTCATCTCAATGATGTAACAGCAGCCTTTTAAAAATAACTTGCATTGGGAGTGGATGCATGAGTGTAACAGACTTCTTATACTCTCAACGTAATGAAATACATCTGCAGTGAAGAAATAGTATGAAGTCCCTGTTTCAAAAGTGGTGACAGCAATTTGGCTATCATATCCAGAGCTGTGTACAAAATAAGTTATAGCATTGTTAGGTAAAAAGCAGAGAGGTAGATGCCTTAAAACGCTCCCATCCCTGAGAGGACACAATGGTTGAGTAATCTAGTGTTCAAATCAACACAATATTTACTGAGCCTATACTTCAGGTTTGTGATGCAGTTGTCTACAGCCGGCCAGAAATGGATTCAGTAGACCGTTTTGCTCTCTGACGACTTAAATAGTGCTTCAACATGATATCGACAGTGGATTATATTAAAAAGTACAGAAGCTATTGGTACTGTTCATGTAATATAATTTGGACATTTAAAAAAGAATAAATAAAAATTATTTAATTTATATCCAACATGTAAAACCCCACAAAGCAGCTAGTGGTCTCCATGCAAAGTTAGTTGTCACCTTTGTACTTTTACCGAAGCTCTGTAGTTTTGAAATAGACAGTCCTTCCAGGTGTCAAGGAAATGGAAATAAATATTTTTAACATTTCTTTCAGGTGTATCTCACTAAAACCCCAAAATAGTTTAGGGCTCCTATTCGAGGATGTTAGGCCCTTTCTGTCACAGATGATTTTAGTGACAGGACGAAGCAATTTGCAAATTCAACTCAGTAGCTGATGGTTGGTCTGGTGGGCAGAGTGGCTAGGATGTGTCAACCTTGCCTCCAGTAGCGAGTGTCCTTTGAGTTAGAGGCCTGTCAGCATCTTCACTGTGAAGCCTGATGTTCAGGGTTCATAACTAAGTTGACTTAAATAGCTTCAAGCTGAAACACGATGTTGACATCCAGATGTATATCTTAAAGCTCAGAGCAGGAGAGGCCCATATCACTGTTTTAAGTTAGAGAACACGAGACCATCTATGTTCACCAATGCCACTTCTTTTTTCTAGCAGTGTTGTAGAAGAAAGCATATTTAGATATATGATCAAGTACTCACAGTTAATTTTATATTTTTAATAGCATCTTTCACTAGAATAATTTCATTAGAATAAATTTTAGATAGAAAATATATAAATTTTTTTGAACTTTGGAAAACTTATGTTGGAGGAAAGGTATGGTAGGCGTCCTTCTTTGTATTTTCTCCTATGGCATCATTGACTGTGCATTTTCAGAGTTCCAGAATATTCACTGCTGGTTGACCTAAGCCACTGTGATTTGTGGCACACGGATTGCTAGCTTAAACTAAAAAAAAAAAAAAAAAAAAAAATGCACTATTTTTCTGTTAGACATTTATTTAAATTTTTGAGATGATGTATTGTATTTATTTTTCTTTTAGGATTCATTTTTTTTTTGAGTTGAGGAAGCCTTCCTGGCTTACGTTCTAAAGCCACACTGCAGAATTTATTGAAATATTTCATAGTTTAATTTGAAAAAGATACAGTTTTCTTTTGTTTTTGCTTCTTGCAATAATTGACTTGCCTCCTCTCCTCATTACAAAGAAAAAGATGATCAGATTCTATTTTAGAAATAATTATATTTCATCTTACTGCATTGCAATATGCCAAAATAATGTTAATCTGTCACAGTAATTGATTAGGTTAGACTAAACTGCTGTCCGTGGAAAAGTCATGGGCAATTTCAAACTTCTAGTGTGGTAAGACCACAGGACCAGGGGGCTAAGCTAAGTTCGCTATTGCTCCTTGTTCAGCATGAGGCCCAGATTTAGTCAGAATGGGTTTTGAACATAAGTTCAATATCACTAGCATTAAATACTCTTTAACTTCATTTTGTACAAGCCGTATATTGTGTGGTTTAAATGCTGGTTACAGTGGGGTGCACTAACTAAAGGGAATTCTTTCTCAATTCTGGAAAGCCAGAACAGAAAGTGACTTCTCTCTTTCTCATGCTTTTCTTGACTTTGTAATTGTTATATTTTAAGAACACCTAGAAATGTAATTATTACAAGTTCATCATGAGTTATTCTTTGCAGAACAATACTTTGTGTTGGGTAGCATCGGAAAAAAGCTCAGTTCATGCTTCTGCTTAACCAGCTAAAGAATGATTTTTTAAAAATTGTTTTTTTCCCCTTTAAAATGTTTTTCCATTGCTTGGGTTTGGTACAGATGAAATGTGTAAAAATTTCTTCATTTTTTGGTTTTCTTTTAGATAAACATGGTTGAGAATATTCAAAGGAAACTTTTAGGCCTTAGACATCTACTTTAAAAAGTCTCAAACATGTAATTAAACTTCTGAGTGATATACAGTTAAATACAGTACTCCCCTTCCCAAGACATGTGCCGCCCCCTTCTCAGAAAAAAAAAAAAAACATTGGTCAGTCTGGTCTGATAGAATGAATAACAGAAAATACACTATATTTTAGCCATTGGACTTGTGTCCAGCTTTAATAGAAAGATTGTCGCTGTGTGTGTTGCCATGTTCTCCGGTCCCAGTTCTAAGCCTCATAGAAGGTTCACACAGCTCGTGAAAATCCATCTGTTTTGCTAAATATGATATGTAAAACATACCCACATTTAATATAACCATTATTATGCTGCTTTGGGAAAGTGGATTTATGTATTTCACTCTCAGGAATATTTTTTTTTTGCATTTTCTCATATTGAATCAATTTTTGTTCTCTTCTTATTTAAAAAAAGTCCATTATGTTAAAAATATGTAACAGAACAATAGTGTTCCAAGCTATTTAAAAACTTTAAACGGAGGCAGAGTTCATTACTATTACTATTACTGTTTTCTGAAACTCGGCACGATTGGAGTGAGACCCGCAAGGGGTCATCCTTTATCTTTCAACAATACTGCAAAACATTTGAGGCCACGAAGAGAAGGGTCACATACCCAGTGGCACTCTTAAAGAATGCTTGCCACGAAAAGCCTGTGTTTAGCAGGCAGCAGACGTGGAACTGTCACTCTCCTTACCTTCCCCAAACTCAGATCATTGTATTGACACTCTGGGCTGATGTGGCATCTTCGGCATTTCATAGCATTAAAAATTATTTTCAATTTCTATTGGAAAACTGTGGTTCTCAGAGAGGAAATGATTGGTATAAGGGTCACGGTAGAAATGTAGGGAGGAAGAGTAGGGGAAGTGGCGGCTCTTGCTTTTCAGTGCATAAAGTCTCTTCTAAAACAGTACTTAGCTTTCTCTCACCTTCTTTAGTACGTATCTCGAGATAGAAAGGCAGGCAGCAGATGTTAAAATACAATCTGCCGAATGTACAAAATGTCTTAATATTCAGATAAATGCTGGCAGACAAGTCAATTATTTCTGTATTTTCCAATGTGCCATTTGGGCTTCAGAGAAACCCTCACCTTCAGGAGTATAGCACTGGTTTTAGAAACTCCCCTGACCCTACCCGAGTTGCTAGACCACGGTGGCAGAGAGGAAGTCTGTTCTCAAGGGATTTACTTTTGACCCAGGAGACTTCTTGAGTTGAGAATAGCTGTGTACTCCAGGCAATACCGGTCTGCACCAAGGACACTGGGCTGTTGCTGGGGAGGCTGACTCAGACTCATCTTACAACTGGCCCTCTCAGCGTTTTAGCTGCTAGTCCACAGGCTGCTGGGAACAGTGCTTTTTATGGAACTCTTTCATTTACTTGTTACACACACACACGCACACGCACACACACACGCACACACACACACACGCACACACGCACGCACACGCACACATGCATACACGCGCACACACATACTTTTCCTCTCTTTCACAGTGTGTGTGTGTGTGTGTGTGTGTGTGTGTGTGTGTGTGACTATGGAGTGCCATGGCAGGCATGTGGTAGTCAGGGAACAACATCAGATATGGGTCCTTGTTGTCTACCGTGTTGGAGGCAGTCTCTTTGCTGTGCTGCTGGGTACCAGGCCAAATGACTCATGTGTTTCTTCTCACCCCATCTCCCGGTAAGGGTACAGGTATTACAAATGTCAGTCCTGCATCTTTTCGTGTCTAGTCCTCCCGTGGGCTCTGAGGATTTGAAATCAGCCCCCATGCTTGCATAGCAAGTGCTTTGCCCACTCAGCCATCTTTCTGGCTCCTTTTTTTTTTTTTAAATACCCATCAAGCCCCTCCTAAGGTGCCAGGCACTGTTTTGGGAGTTGAGACATGTAAAAATCTAGGTGAAATGAAAGCCATTCTTTAAACTTTGGGCTAATTAGGTATTAATCATCAAATTCTGTGTTGAAAAAAGGAGGGTAACTAGACACAGTGGGACACTGGGAACGTGAACCCTACTGTTTAAGGAAAGTGTTTTAATTTTGAACTGAACAAGGTATGAAGTTGAAGAGACTGAGAAACAGCCTAAGGGTCAAGTAGGAGTGACAGACACCTTGGCAAGGCTTTATTTCATTTGGTTGTTTTCCTGTCTGAGAGAGAGGATATCATGGGGACGTTTAGGGGTAGGGGTCACAGACAGGGATAACTCAGTCCTAAAATATAGTACCTGTGTATCACTGGACAGGAAATACACTTTAGGGAGGGTCCATACCAAGCATGTTTGGGAATATCTAATTTGTTGTGTGAAAATTTTAACCAACGGGAGCCCAGAAGCAGAAGTGGGGAAAGACAGAGTGGGGTGTTTGCTAGATGGACAAATGCACAGGGGTGCTTTGTTGGAATGGCCACTTCCGCTGGAGCTCTTGCCGAGTTATCATACGATATCTCAGCACTAAATGAAGAAATGGCAATAGGCCATGCGGAGGATCCTGGGAGCTCCTGGAGAGGAAGGGACTGCCCCTGAGAAGAAGGCTTCTGGACTGGAAACAGAATGTTTTATATGTGACAGGGAAGGTTCCCCATGGCCAGCATTCTCTCAACAAGGTTCCATGTTAACCCAAGGTCCACAGCAGACCTAGGGTGAAGTGAGTTATTCTGAGTGAGTTAGCCTCAGACATGGGTTAGCCTGTATTTTGCCTAAATTTATAAGCTTCAGATTAACTGCTGAAGACCACGGTGGGGCAAATGTGGCATTCCAACATGGCAGAAAAAATAAAATGGGGTTGTGGGTATGGGTGTGTGCTTCCTTAGATGCCGGTGCACGTGCATGTGTTTGGAGGTCAGAGGTCAACAACACTAGGTGTTGGGTTTTGGTTTTTTTTTTTGTTGTTGTTGTTGTTGTTTTTGGCTTTCTGTGGGTCCTAGGACTTGTCGTTTAGGGTAGGGTGGCTGATTTACCTCAATCTTCCTTTTTCTGCTTCCCCGGGGCTGGGATTACAAGCATATGCCATAACACCTGGTGTTTTTCATTTCCTCTGGTGATCAGACTCTGGGCCACAGGCTTGCAAGGCAAGTACTTTCCCAACCAGTCTTTCTCCCCAGCCCAGGGCACAGTTCTTGATTGTACTACTTGTTTGTCATGATCGTTTTCTGCCTTGGGTAGACCTTTCTTCTTTGCCGAGACTTTATTCACTTGATAGCTTCGGCTCTCTCATGGGCCCGCAGCAGTGAATATGGTCACATCATCATTAAAAGAGGACCATTGAGTCCTGTGTAGTGAGATGAATTCTAAGACACCTGCCCCCACCTGGTCTGTATCCAGGAAGTAGGAACATCACCTGAAAAGTCCTCTTCTGTAGAACTAATCAGGTACTCTGTCTGTGTGTGTGTGTGTGTGTGTGTGTGTGAGCATGCACGCGCGTGCACATGAGCACACACACACACACACACACACATGCACGCATGTGCATTGGGTCGTCAGAGTGCATCTGGGGGCCAGAGGCTGACACTGATGTGTCTTCCTCAGTTGCTCTCTGCCTTGTTTTGAAGTTGCATTTATCTCTTACATAAGCACACGCATACATGCTTGTGCCTGTGGGGGTCAGAGGACAAGCGGTCAGCACTTTCTCTTTTCTTGTAGGTCCCAGGGATGGAACTCAAGTCAAACTTGGTGGAAAGTGTTTAATCCAGGGAGCCATCTCTTTCCCCCTCTACCCTAGGTTTTGGGACAGGTCCTCTCTTGGGGACTGGAGCTTGCGAATTAGGCTAAGATGGACGTCTGGCAAGCCCCCCAGATGGCCTGTTTTCCAGCTTGTAGCAGTGACTGCACGTACAAACTGCCGCCCCCCAACTTTTTTCATGGGCGCTGAGGATTTGAATTCAAGTCCTCATGTTTCCAAAGCAAGGGCTTTACCCACTAAGCTGTTTCTGGAGCCCCTAAATACCCTTCTGCTTTTAGCTGAAGATCTGACTTAAGACCACACCTCAGGGCTCTTGGAGCTGTAGACAGCTGACACCTTAATATGGATGGTGCAATATGCAGATGGGTGTCAGCCTTCTTTCTGGAGCGTAATTCCTGCAGACAGTCTAACATGGGGATTTAATAAAAAATGTGCATATATTCTGTGAGTACTGAACGATAAATAAAGGGAAATTTAGCTTGCTTTCAAAACGGGTGGACCCCAAGACATCAGTATGTCTGAAGGGGTGTCACAGCCCCAATACAGATGCTTCCCTTGTGGTCTGCCGTCACTGGTCCACCACACTGGGTTCTGATAAGACATTTACAGTAAGCATGTGTTCTCCGTTCTTAAGTGTTTCTGATGTGCCCCTGTTCCTTCTGTGTTTCCTGTTTCGTGTAGGTGGTAGCCCTCGGAGAGGTACCAGATGGGACTGTGGTTACTGTCATGGCAGGGAATGATGAGAACTATTCTGCTGAGCTCCGAAATGCCTCTGCTGTTATGAAAAACCAAGTAGCAAGGTTCAACGATCTGAGATTTGTGGGCCGGAGTGGACGAGGTAGGTCTCTGCTTTTTAAACACTTTAGCTCTCCGATGCAACGTGGACTTGTCTGTACGCAACCCAGCATCTTCTTACTGAGACAGAGCCACCGAAGGTTTGTGTACAACTATCCAGATACCCTGGAGTGTTCCCCTCAGTATGGAGGCCGTTTTCATTTGTTTGATGATATTGAAGAGTCAAACAGTGTCCTCAGAAGAACTAGCTCCTGACTTCACAGGGTTCAGTGTGTACAGTAGAGAGAAGGATGCTTGGAGCATCAAGTTCTGAAGTAGGAGGAGTCACGTGACTTGAAGAGATTGAGAGGCAATGGAAACAGGAAAGTGATTGCTTGGGAAGCGTTTCCCACAGTATCAGCATCACCCTGAGTTGAAATGGGGACAACTAGAACACTGTCTTCCCTTAGTGATGTCACCCTTGAATGACTTAGTCTGGTAATAAGAATCTTTTAAAAATAATTGTTTAGGCTTTTTAAGGGGGTATATTTTTAGATATGGTTTTACTATGTAACCCTGGCTGGCCTGGAACTTTTATGTAGATCAGGCTGGCTTCGAACTCACAGAGATCTGCCTGCTCCAGTTTCTAGAGTGTTGGGTTAAAGGCCACCAAGCTTGGCTGAAGACCTTTTGTTTGAATAAGTGAATTATTTACTTAGAGTGACTATAACATTGCCTAGCAACGCTTAGGACCCCAATGGCCTAGCGGCATTTAGGGTGTTCAATCATCTGAAATCACATTTAGATATTAGGATCATTTAGGGGAGTCACGAAACAGGAGATAATCCTCATAAGGATTTCAGAAAGGGAATTATTTTTTTGGATTGCGTTCCTAAGAAAATCAATACTTTGCCTTTTATTTGCTTGTTCTCCAGAAAGACTGCTACTGGTTATTCACCTGTTGGAGGTATTATGTTCATTCAATTTATTGAATCTAATATTTCCATTTTAAGTATTACACTAAGAGAAAAAACAAAGTAGGAGCACTTTAGGACTGAGGTGAAGTAAAACCATGACACCTGCATCTGTGCTCCCTGCAGCCCAGGTTTGAATCAGGAAATGAGAAACACCCATTCTCAATCGTGTTCAATAATTACTCTCTAGTTTGGGTCATATGTCAAATTATTACCATTGTAAAAACTTGATAAGGGAAATTTAAGCAAGACTGTTTTCGATGAGTAGGTTTTAGTTACTTTCTAGGAATGGGGCCAAGAAGCTGTACTTTTTAACTTAAGGAAAAGAAAAGAAAGCTCGCTAATGAGATGCTGTCACTGGAGGCTGTCTGGACCAAACTGAGGTGCGGAGCCTCTGGGAGAGCGGAACTGCGGGGTTTGTCTCTGGAACAGGTTCTGCACGCCTTCATTAGAAGAATGAGAAGATGCAGCTTCTCTCTAGCGACTGGTTAGGTTTGGAAGGCATGTGTGCGTTAGTTCATCCATTCATTCTTTCATCTACTCTTTTCATGCTTCTGTTTGTTTCTTAGTTCCTGTTGCAGAGTCACAATACAGTTGTCTCTCCCATTTTCTCCTGAAAAAAAAAAGTAAACATAAGGAGGTCCCTGTGTACTCTAGATGTAACCATGACGATGTACCTGGATACTCTAAATTGCCGAAATTGCATCTTTCTTCTTCTGTTACTGTAAGCAGAGTAGTGAATTTTAATATTTAGAGGGTGGACTGCTACTCTTAATTTTATTTTACAGATCCAAAGTTGTGTTTTCATTTATTACACTTTTGTGTTATATAGACACTAAATCACCCATTTTTTTCTGATCAATTTGACTAGAAACTATAGCAGAGTGATAGTATACTTTGCAAACCCTCAACATATTTATTTAAGAAACTTCAAAAGGAAGCAAAGGGTGTGTGCTGTTTTACTATATTGGCTTTCAGAGTTTTGGCTGGTTTCCCAAATAGCAATTTTTATATTAAAAAAAAAAGACAGACTTAACTGCTTGCAGACTTTTCACGCATGGAAGATGAAGGAAGCCTCTTTTGATGAAGTGTAATTATGTCCAAACAGAGCTGACCCCCTCCCCCTATATTTCTTATGATCTTAACTGAAGAAAGTAGGATTTTTCCTTTGAAGCAGCTGGGACGTGGTGGAGGATCTGAAGTGCTCCAGTCTGCTGCCAGAGGCAGGATGGAGAAATTGGTCCAGACTTGTCTTCGAGACCGGGGGAGGGGGGGTGCATGTGGAGAGTGAGGGTGGAGAGAGAACGAGAGAGAAATTGATTTATCACTAATAATAGATTTTATATGACTGTGTTACTTTGAATGAGAGGAAGCAATAAGATTAAGCTAAAATGGAGAGAGAGAGAGAAAAGACAGAGACGGCTCTCGACGAAAATGAGTCAGGTTTTCAGGGGCAGGAAACCCTCAAGCCTGACCTGCTTTTTACAAGTCTGTCCCCAGCTTCCTCTTTGATTCTCACAGTTCTTCATCTCTGTCTCAAAGTCTTCACCGCATGCATTGCCCAATGGATGGATTTTTCTCTCGCAACTATACAAAATGTATCTTCAATGATGTTTAAAAGATAAACAAACAAAACAAAAACCAAGCCCCATACATATTATGTTTCTTTTAACCTTTTCACTGGTGGAAACATAGACTCTCTGAAATTGAACATTGGGCCTTAGGTTTACAAAACATCCAAGTTTCCATTCACTCTTGCGTCCTAGGTCATTGGAGGACCTGACACTCAAAAATGCCTGAGATAAAGTTCAGCATCCATGAAACTGGCATGAAGTCATGGTTTTTAATTGTCTCTGCCTTTTTTTCCTTAATGTTTTACACAGAAGTGATTAGAATGTCTTTGACCACACCTTCTTCTCCTCCTTTCTCTTCCTCCCCCTCCTCATCGTCATCCTCCTTTGGTGTGCTGCTCCCCCCACCCTCCACTCCTTGTCCGTCCTCCTTTGGTGTGCTCCCCCCACCCCCACTCCTTGTCTGTCCTCCTTTGGTGTGCTCCCCCCACCCCCACTCCTTGTCCGTCCTCCTTTGGTGTGCTCCCCCCACCCCCACTCCTTGTCCGTCCTCCTTTGGTGTGCTCCCCCCACCCTCCACTCCTTGTCCGTCCTCCTTTGGTGTGCTCCCCCCACCCTCCACTCCTTGTCCGTCCTCCTTTGGTGTGCTCCCCCACTCCTTGTCCATCCTCCTTTGGTGTGCTCCCCCCACCCCCACTCCTTGTCCGTCCTCCTTTGGTGTGCTCCCCCCACCCTCCACTCCTTGTCCGTCCTCCTTTGGTGTGCTCCCCCACTCCTTGTCCATCCTCCTTTGGTGTGCTCCCCCCACCCCCACTCCTTGTCCGTCCTCCTTTGGTGTGCTCCCCCACTCCTTGTCCGTCCTCCTTTGGTGTGCTCCCCCACTCCTTGTCCGTCCTCCTTTGGTGTGCTCCCCCACTCCTTGTCCGTCCTCCTTTGGTGTGCTCCCCCACTCCTTGTCCGTCCTCCTTTGGTTTACTTCCTCTCGTTTGACATCAAGCATGCTGCATTTAATTTACAAGCCTTATAAAGCATTTCCAGTGCACATAGCGTGGTGTTTTGTCATCTTAGGACACAAGCCTGTTTGCAGTCTGGCCCTTCCTGGCAGCCTTTAAGGCTAAATTGGAAATGTCTTTCAGTGACAGTCCCTTTACACATCTAAGAAATGATATGACCCTGGGTAGTACCGCAGGACGAGTTTCTAGATAAAACTGTGGATGATATAATTAGCTTTGCCTACGTAGGATTTGGATTTTGTGTGTCAGAGGGGGATGAAGGTGTTTGCACACGTGTGTGTTGGTAGCTGTGCCTGTGTGAGGACATGTGGAGGTCAGAGGCTGATGTTGAGATGGCGTGTTCAGTCTCTTTTCCACTCTTTTGTCCAGACATGGTCTCTCATGCAGCTCACTGTGTCTACTAGACTGGGTGACTCCGTATCCCATGATCCTCCTGTTTACTGCCCTCGAGTGCTGGGGTTTCAGGCACACATTGCCACCCCCTCCTTTTAACATGGGTACTGAGAATCTGACCTTAAGTTGGTTTTACTCACTGAGCCACCTTTCTAGCACAAGTAAGATTTGTTTTAAATACCCTCATTAGTCATTAGTCTCGAATTAGTGGATCATCTGTAGATGGTTTCCGTCCACCACAGCCACTGTTAACAATGGAGACATGGCTCTGTGGCTAAGAACAGTTGCTGCTCTTCAAGACGACCAGTGTGGGTTTGATTCCTAGCCCCCACATGGCCGTTCACAACTGTCTGTCACACTAGTTCAGAGAGATCCGATGCCCTCTTCGGACCCCCAGTGACATCGGGCACGCACACGGTGGACAGACATATCTGCAGGCCAAACACCCATGCACATAAAATTATGTAAAAAAATTGCAATCCTGGATCCATGTATCACTGATTTCTTTAGAAAGTGGAATTTGGAAAACTTTTTGTTTTAAGTTAAGGAAGTCACAAATGCCCACATAAACATTTGACTCAGGAAATGCATTATTATAAGGCGAACTAATTAGTGAGTCAGGTCAGAGTTTCTGGAAGTTTCTTCCACACTGCATACAGGGGCTAACCAGGAGTGCAAAGAGCGTTTTCTGCCTATGCTTTCATTGTGAAAGCACAATTTGAGCCTTAGGAGTCTACTCTGGAAGATGACAGATGGCAACTTTCCTATAACCCCACCTCTTTTTAAAGGAGGTTTGTTCTTTTTTTTATGATTTTATATATTTACTCACTAATACTTTTTAGATTTGTTTTATTTTGCGTGTGTGAGTGCCGTGACTGCTTGTGTACCTGCATAACACATACATGTATGCTTGGTGTCTAAGTGGTGAGCCTCCATGTGGGTTCTGGGAATCAAACCCTGGTACTTTGCAAGAACAACAAACACTCTTAACTACTGGGCCTCCAGTCCTGAAGGCATTTTTAAAGGGGAAAACTGGTTCATTTCTGAGTATTTTGATGCTCAGAATTTTGTCTCTGGTTCTGTTTCGATATGAAGTGTATTTCTTGACTTTGAGAGGAGCAAAGGACTTATTTTCCAAGCAGGTTGTAAAGGTTCACAATAGGAAAGCATCCCAGAACAGTCATGATTCATTCACGGGCATTTTCACTAGCAGGTCACGCAGAGACAGTAAGGAAGAGCAAACCATAGGCATTCTTGATGTATTAATATTGGCACCAGGGATGCTGTCTTCCAACCATGGCCTTTGGAGCCACTGCTAGAAGTGTAACCCCAAGTCTGTGGACCACTGATCTCTTCTAGAATGGTGTTTTAAAATGTCTTAATGCAAATTAGCTTTGAATCCGGAGACTTGGCCACTGTTTTGAGTTCTCAATCTGGGACTCCCACTCAAGTTTTTGATCTCAATTTCTGTTGACTTTGAGTTTTCTAGGACTAGTTTAGACTCCTGGCTGTCTTAGTCCTCTGGCCAACATTAATGTTTACAATAAGTCTCTGTTCTGTACTGAATTAAATTACTTAATTCCATGTAATATCTAGTATGTAGTAACACAATGTGAAGTGTCAGTAATACTGAGAGATAGACAATTTCATCCATTACTAATCTATTTATATTTATTATTTCCTGGGCACAGGGAGCTAATTGGGACACACCTAGAAGTAAGTTATCTGTTTTTTTCTTTTTTTTCTTTTTTCTTTTTTTTTTTTTAAGAGAGAAACATGGATAGACACGACATGCAGGGTGAGGCTGAATGTTTATTCAGGGGGTTATGGAGGAGGAAGGGTGAAGGAGGGACAGAGACAGAGAGGGAGAGAGAGAGAGAGAGAGAGAGAGAGAGAGAGAGAGAGAAGAGGAGAAAGAGACAGAGAAGGGGGGAAGCAGAGAAGTGGGGAGAGAGGCAGAAGCGAAGCTGCCTCTCCGAGAGGAAGATGGAAAAGAGAGCCTGTTTTTTTCATGTTCTATGGTAAAACAGGGAAAACTTTTTATTTTCCTCTTCGTTCTTCTCATCTCTCCCCTTCCCTTCCTTCTGTTCTTCCTCCCTGCCTTCCTTTCGTCCCTTCCTCCTCTTCCTTTGCCCCCTTCTTTCCTTTTCCTTCTTTTCTATGTGGGGAATTGAACCCAGGGCCTTACACACGCTACCCATCTCTTTATCCTGGTTCCATATCTACCCTAGATATTTGATCTAAGGTCAGAAAGGTTTGAGTTTAGTTCCCAACTTTCCCCATTCACTAATCGCAGGACCCTGGGTAAGTCACTGAGCTTCTCTGGGCTAAGGTTTCCTTCTTCGTGAGCTGGGGTGATGACTCTCACTTGGGAAGGTTAAGTGGGGTGATGTGGTCAATGTGGCTGGAGCTTAATAAGTTTCTAATCAATATTCATCTGTCTTAATTCTATCCCCACATTCCTGCCTTGCCTTCTTTAACCCCCTTAGCTATGGAAAAGCAGTCGAGAGTCTTAAGACTATCCACACACAGTAACAAATGATATGTTTCTTAACCAGATTTGAGGAACTTACATGGTCTGGTTTGAAAAGAAAGCCATTCAGTAGATTTGACAGCCAAAGACCTGTTCTCCATTAAGCCTGGCACATAACCTGTTCCATATTAAGCTATGAAAAGATTGTATTAAACTCCACATTGCTACATATTGTCTAAGATTTGTGTTTTGATTTAGTACTCTCAGCTTTCAGTAGAAGGGGGAAAAAAATCTGACCGAAAAAACAAAGCAACACAAAAGGAGCTTTTTATCAGCTCCAGGGGCAGACGGCCGGGTTCTCGGCGCAGCCCGCTGCTGTTTTATTGAGTCACTGTTTCACGCCCACCTCTTCCTGTCTTGTAACAGTCTGCAGTTTTGACTATCTGACATGACTAACCATTGCAAATCTAACTGATTACAACTGTCAGTGAGTCTGTAGAACAGAGGGCAGTATCTTCTGGAGAAAGCAGACATTCAGATCTGTGACCAAACTTTGCCCTGCCCCCCACGATTCATCACTTTTAGCTCATTAATTTGAGGCATCAGAAGGAAGGAATGTATCCCTGCAGAAAATCTCTTCCAAAAGTAAAACTTCGTGCTTAGCCAAAACTAAGTTACTGTAAGTTACTATAGTGAGTTCCTTCAAGATTTAGCTCTGAGATGTATGTTAGGGGAGGCGTGAGCTTGGAGGAGAAAACTGTTCCGTGATGAAATCATATACCACAGGCGCGTTAAGGCTGGGACAGGAGACCTGGGCTCCTGTTGAAATGATTCCCATAACAGCTTCCCTCGCTCATCTTCTTGCGGTTCATTTAAGCAGATGCGATGCTAAGGCCATGAGAAGTAAATAGCATCACCAATGGTAATTTACTGTTGTTGTCTCAAGGGGTCATGACCTGATCCTAAATAGACTTCCTCAACTGTCAACCTGCAGGCAGGGTTGTGTTCCTGATGTTGGAAAAAGTGGAAAAGTAGAGCCACCTCTTCAAGTGGCCCCAGGGTTTTGTTCTCACTGTTGAGGAGGTTACTGGGGAGCGGGGTGAAGGCTTCTCGCATAGAACCTCAGGAAAGATTCCGATCTTAATCAGGAACACTTAGAAGTGTTCCTAAGTGCGTTTTTGGGTCCAGAGGAAGGATTCCTGATTGGTTGCTCCCTAAGAGATGATTCAGTCAAATTTGGATGTCAGCATATATTATTGTAGGGTCATCAATGCCAGCCATTTATAGTTACTTGTGTTTTCCCTTCTTCCATCTGCAGGCAAGAGTTTCACCTTGACCATAACAGTCTTCACAAATCCCCCCCAAGTGGCCACTTATCACAGAGCGATTAAAGTGACAGTGGATGGTCCCCGGGAACCAAGAAGTAAGTACCTGCTTTCTGTTGTCAGTGCTAATGGAGTTTGTGCAGACCCTGTGAAGCCTTTGTTCTGAAGGAGTTAGTCCCAGGTCACTATGTGTTTTTAGGCAAGAGCTATTGGTAGAACTTAATAGCTTCTAGAAAACCAAAGGCTAGCGCCTCTTTCCTCACAGGCTTGCTTAAGGCTTTATGACGCTGGGGAACAAGCAGATAGCTACTCATCCTGGAGACATTCAGCTAAGAAACTCTGCTCATCCATCCTGTGCAGTGGGCAGGGTCAAAGGGACCAATGAGGCTTAGGAAGCAAATTATAAACTTAAAAATCTTAGACTTAGGCAAAAAGCATTTGTGTGTTTCCCATGGCCCAAGAATGCGTTTTAGCTCGCCCACTCAGTTCCCTTTATAAAGAGCACAGGGCTTAATTACAAAGAATTTATTTGCAAATGATAACTTGCTTCATTGTTACAACACTGTTGTACGGTCATTTTCCTCTAGTAAGTGTTCTAGATAGTTCCTTGTAGCAGAGCAATACAAACTAGGTTTACGTTCACGTTGGCTTCTTTGTCTGTCGATCCAGAAGGTTTATCCAGCAGTCAGTTGAAGGTAGTGTACTTCCTCTGTCTGGGGGCCAATATTTGTTCTCTTCCTGAATCTGAAGCAGATCTGACTGGCTTGCACCCCGTGCTCCTGCCACCCACCGCGTTTTGAGCAAGCTTGGCATAGCAGCATTAAAACACATTTGCAGAGTAAAGGTTATTTGAAGTTGAAGTGTGAAGAGTTCTGCGCCATATAATATGATATAAACATCATAGTAAGCTCGGCATTTGTGGGCTGGATATTTTGGAGTCCGAGGCATTGCTTTTAGGAAGTTAAATGTGGCTTATGATGGGGTGGGCAGCTGATCGAAGTTCTAAGATGAATCCCCCACCCAGATAGTGAGGATGGGCTCCTTCCTTCCCCCAGAGTAAGAGAGGAGGTCTATAGAGGCAAAACCTCTCTCCATACCTCCTGTCTTTTAGCGAGGGGCTCATACAGTAGCCCCCATCCCTTTTGCCTCTGTCTATTCTACAAAGGCCGACTGCCTGAGTGACCAAGGCTTCCTGCCCCCAAAAGCAGTCTGTGAGGTTTGGTCCCCCTCCTTTCCTGTGTATGGTCTTCTTCCCAATTCCTAATGTTGGGTCAGTGCTGGCCCTGTCTAGTCTGGGAATAGCCTATTAAGTGGTTTGGTTCATGTGTGGTGTGTGTGAGAGCTTCCAAATCTTACGTTTCAAGGGTCAGAGGTCATACAGCACAGGGAAAGAGATCAGAGCAAGGATGTCTTGGCTAGCTAGGGCTTTGCTAGTCTTTTCTGGATTGCCATAAGTCAGGGATGATTTCTTCTACTTCTAACCATTTACCTGACAAGCTCTTGAGTGGAAGAAGTGGTGCATAAGGCAGCAAATAGCCTTTTAGTATTTATTCAACACTACAAATATTTGCCTTTGAAACATGGTTCCTGCTCATCCCAGCAGCTTTCTTCAGTACACAGAGAAACTATTATTGTGTGTGTGTGTCTGTCTGGGTGTATGTGTATTTCTAGTGGAGATGGGTGTGTCTGAGTTGATGGTTAGGGGAGAGGCAGGGAAGGGTTGGTGCTGCCCCATTCTAAAAGAGATGGGAAAAGGTGAGCAGGCTGGTAGCTTTGCGAAAGCTCCTTCTGATTCCAGTGGGGATGGTAGTATCTCATTTCAAAGATCTATTGGCCTGTGAAGACAGACAAGTGCCCTGAAGGCTGTGCGGGTTTGGAATCGAGGATGCATGCTGCATATGTGATCGGAGTTTGTGCTTTGGTAGTCCTGAGGGAGGGTGGGAAGTAGACGCAGGTCTGGTGCTGCAAGGCCAACTATCTTTGTAGCATTCCTTTTTCTTTTCTTTTCTTTTTTCTTTCTTTTCTTTCTTCTTCCCTGCTGCTCCCCCCTCCCCCCAGCCCTGGTTTTTTTGAGATAGGATTTCTCTGCATAGCAGTTCTGGCTGTCCTGGAACTCACTTTGTACACCAGGCTGGGCTTGAACTCACAGAGATCTGCCTGCCTCTGTCTCCGAAGTGCTGGGTTTAAAGGTGTGCGCCATCATATCCAGCTGGCATTTCTTATAAAATGAATACCGTCTGAAAATGTGATGACATACACACACACACACACACACACACACACACACACACTGTGTGGTTACTTGCCTGAATGTGGGCTGTATCTGGTATCAGTAACTAGTTAAACCTACAGCTTGGACACTGCTGGGTTCTTTCTTTCTACTTGCTCTTTGTCACCTGTCAAAAGGACCCGACTATGTCATAAGGATTCCTGCAAAAGCAGTCTAAGCCAACACACAAACAAGTAGTCACAGGTATATTTGAATAAAACTTTATTTACGGGACCAGAGAGATGGCTCATCAATTAACAATGCTAACTGCTCTTGTAGAGAACCCTTGTTTGGTGCTCAACACTCACATTAGGTGACTCACATACAACTGCCTGTAGCTCTCGTTTCAGAGGACCTGAATCCTTCTGGTTTCTGTAAGCCCTTGCATACACATGGTGCACATAGCTCACGTAGGCACACATACACATATGGTGCACATAGCTCACGTAGGCACACATACACACATGGTGCACATAGCTCACGTAGGCACACATACACATATGGTGCACATAGCTCACGTAGGCACACATACACACATGGTGCACATAGCTCACATAGGCACACATACACACATGGTGTACACAGCTCATGTAGGCACACATACACACATGGTGCACATAGCTCACGTAGGCCCACATACACACATGGTGCACATAGCTCACGTAGGCCCACATACACACATGGTGCACATAGCTCACGTAGGCCCACATACACACATGGTGCACATGCTCACGTAGGCACACATGCACACATGATGTACATAAACTCATGTAGGCACACATACACACATAAATAATAATAAAGATATCTTTATAAAAACCCCTAAGCTTTTTAAAAACCAGTAGTGGCCATATGTGACCAAAAATATAGTTTTCCATCCCTGCTCTCGATTTCAAAGTGGCTTATTTTATCAACCTTCAACAGAGAGAGGACTTCATAAAAGGTTTCCCAAAACAGAGAGAAAAAGATAATCAGTCCAATTGGTTCAGTTGCTTTTCCTCCCAATTGTAATTCCTGAGTGTCGTGAAGGAGTCCAGGACTTGGTGTTATTATTCCTGTTTGTCAGGGGTCTTCCCTGCCCTCTCCTTAAAGACCCGTGTGTATATTGAAATCATTGTTTCCAGAGGCCCAGATGACTGGATTAGGACACATAATGAGCTCACTGGTTGTGTCTGTCACACTGCCTGGACTGAAATCCCAAAGCCAGCATTGCTTAGGTGTCTGCAGGCAGACATATTCCCTAGCTGTCATTGGCCTCGTTTTTCTCATCTTTTAAAGACTAATGCAAAATACTGTCTTTCATACCAGTTGATGCAAGAATGTTAGGCGATACATGGTGTCTAAACTCGACAGTGTGGTAGCTGTTGTGTAGTAAGTGTTCATCAGATGGTAGCGATTGCCGCCCTGTCACGAGTCTGCTGCAGACTTGTATGCATGTGTGCAGGAAACAGGTGCTGCATAATCTGCTCTCTACTGTGTTATTTTTTTCCTTGAGTGAAACTTTACTAACTTTTGCACGATTGTGAATTACACTGATCCACATTATAAGTTATGCTTTGAGCAGATGTTTATGTCACACCGCCCGGGGAGAAATGTGCAAAACTGATGAGCAACACTTCTGTGTGCTACAAACTCCCGGACGGGGTGCTATGTGACACCCCAGTCCCACACACGGAGGCCCTACTTACCAGCACATCTGCCAAGACTTGCTGCTGAGTCCAAACTGAAAGGGTTCACCCTTCCGTGTGTTTTCGTCTCTGGCAGCTGAGCCAGGACTGTCGCATCCCAAACAACTCCCTTTCTTAATATACACATCTGGCGTTGGCAGTTTGGACTCACTTCATAAGAGCACATGATCATCACTCATTACAAGATTAAAAAGTACCCCATGGCATCATTGATGTTTTTCAACTTTGATCTTCTGCAGTTGTGATTCATCTCAGTTATAAAACTTCCCTTTAAAGCAACACAGCCCATGCCTGACGAGGACCTTCATCTCAAGCAGTGTAAACTCGAGAACGGCGCAGGTTCTTCACAAAATGCCGTTTCTTTCCTGGGCCTAGCTTATCATTTTAAGACATGACATCATACTTAAGATCCCAAATTTGTAAGTCTTGTACGGAGGCACGGAGCTTTGACCTCCTGTTGGCAAGCTAGCTTTGAAGAACAAGTGCCGTATGCTCGCCAGCAGGAGAGGCCAGGACAGCGTCGGCAGCCGCAGTAATGAGTTTGGATTTCCAACTCTTTTACACATCATTCCCGATTAGGATCCTCTGGTCCGCTTATGCACTTGCCTCCAACTCCAGTCTGACTTAAAGGATTTCTGCAGGGAAGTGGGGAAATCAGTTAGCAGTACCGTGTTCTCTAGGAGTGGTTCTGAGTTAGGGAAGAGGCCTGATGGGAATAGATACAGACTGAAGAACCTGGAAAGGTAAGTCATTCTCGCTAGAATCATTGGGCTGCGTCTTCTGACATGACCCCTATGCAAGGACAGCACCTATTTTTTTTTAAATAAGCATTTCTTATTATTCCATACGCTGGACAGAGTTTAAAACAAGCATGTCTTATTATTCCATGGGCTGGACAGAGTTTAACTGGAGAGTAGTTTCTTATGCTCTTGTGTGTGGTCTAACATGTGACTGTCGTCAGATGGGGACCAATACTGGGCAGTCCACAAGGGTTTCATTCCTGTGTCTACTGCTTTGGCAGGGACCCCAGAAAAGGGGTCTTCCCTCCCTCGTGGGACTCTAGGGCCCCTCCAGAAGTTCTCACCAGCTGTGATGGACTCTCTGCATGGCAGTTTAGGGCTGCTGAGGGTGCAGAATAGGG